CGTTGGAAGCACTGTCTGGCGCGTCTGCCTCCGCGACCCGAAAGGAGAAGCGGCGATGGAAGATGATGATACTTTACAAATCGTACGCAGTGTATAAATACAGCAGAATAAACTCACTAGACGTGAAGAAACAGCGCCGAAATGGTTCAACAACCAGCTCTGTCGTCTGTATGGTTTAAGATCTACACTAACGAGTGCGTCGCTTCTCCGCCATTGTACTGTTTAAAGTATTTAATGATAGTGGGGTTGCTGGATCACCGAAAATTCCAGCAGACTAGAAGAAGGTATGAAGCTAATGTAGGGCGAATCGGCACATTGTTCCTTACGTATACCTCATTTAATGGAACCCAAACTGCTAAATGAACCCTTATAATGAAATATATATATGAGACCAGCCGTTCTAAAGTTGGCTCAAAAATTTGAATTTGAGAACTGAAAATTAAGTGAAATATTACGGAAGAGCACTACCTTCCGGGCTGACACTAACATGTAAAACTCTTAGCCTAACGATTCATGGAGCTCACACAATGTAAAATGACAAATAAAGTAGTGATGCCTTTTCATGCATACTGACTTGTTATGCCTTAACAGTAATATTTCGCACTTCCATAGCATGCGATTTCCTCTTCTTAGGACGATAACTTCAACTCATGTCCAATGAACTAATGAACGCAGCTGACAGAACCGATGAACCATGTTGTGCCGACCGTGAACCTGAAAAGGCTAATCGAGCCATATCTGATAGCATGTGTAGGATCGCCAACACCAATGCTATGTTTGTTCTCTGCAACTCCCACAATTCACAATTCACGTAACGGGTTCAATAAACCGCAAAACAATACAATGGCGTGTTCTTTCGCAGAGAGTTGCGTCGACGTTCCTTCACCAAGGCATCACGTTTCAGCTTGCTACATTAAAAGGCTCTGAAAACTTAGGAAATTGTTGATGCTGTTCGATGTGCAATCAAGCCTCTGGTTCTCTTTTCCTTTCTCCTTATCTTTTCGATTTGGTTCAATGCGGGTGGATTATTTCCTAGCCGTTCCAAAAACAGCATCTGCGATACGCCCGACATTTTGCAATTATCAGTCAGTACCCGCATTATCGAATTATTGTACATAATGTTCGTTTATGCTGCTTGATGGAAAATATGCACCTCAATGATTCCATCCATGCAATAATAAACACGAACTAAGGCTACACTGATCCTACTGCTTAATGAACACAATGGCGAGGGAAGGAAGCTAATCGGTTAACTAGCTTGTCGGTAATGGTACTTACTGTGCAGTTTTTATTGCCAGCAGCCAACTTTCCTTCGCTTCTATCGACTTCGTGTACATTGCGTAAACCGTCTCTAAATTTCGATGAACTAGGCACCACGAGAAAGTCCACTGAAAAGTTTCAAGGATTACATGTAAACTTTTAAGCGCATTATTATTTACCTTCGGTGTCAGTTTTATTGTCTGCCGCGTGCTTCCATTCGCTTCGTTCATGTCTTCGACGCGATACTCGCGAAGAATCAGCGCGTCCTTGAAACTGTATTGATTATTCTGAAACAACGCTGCTTATACCAATCGAGGAGATCACAAGCAACATACAAACCTGTTCAAATACAGTGGAGTACTATTATGTTTTTACCCATTAACTACTTCTTTATCAGTGCTTATTTATTCGAGTTGTATCATCATCTGTTTAACCTGATGAAAACGCCAGTGTAAGGTGTCGAAACGCGTTGGTGAGTACAGGAATTTACATCTTTTACAAACTGTTACCTTAAACCATGGATCGAGAACCGAGGATCAGAGATATCCAAGCAGAAAACGAAACGATACATCATTTCACGGCTATATGAGCATACATCAGTATTTTCAGAGAAGAAATTACTCAATACATGTGCAAAGTACTTGAACGCTTGAAACGTTGCCATTGGAAGCTTAATACAACAGTATTTTACTGCTCTGCCGTATTCCCAGTCATCCGAACCTAACTGAATATGCATTCTGAATTGACTCACTTTATAACATTAAGTCTTGAAAATCTTCACTCAAATTAAGTCTTGAAAAGTTTTCAGTAAAAGTTAAGCCTGAAAGATACAAGAAATGATTAGTCATAAGTCATCAGTCGATCTACCATAGTTCAGCATTAAAGCATTACGGTTGATCAGGTGTGCAAATACGATGACCAATAAGATACACGCCATAAATATATACAGATATGCGATTACCTTGCCCGGTTTACAGATCAGCAGTACTTTGTCGAACACGAAGATGTACCTAAAATCAAATGACAACCGCGTGACTGCAGACCGTCAGCTACCTTGCTTGAGCTTGAGCCACTTACCTGATTTTAAGCTTCTTGTCGCGATCGTAATGAGAGAAGATCCGCAGCTCGCCGTCTTTATGCAGTCGACCATAGTCGCACAGTTCCGTGTTGTCAGGCTAGAAGCACGCATCGTCAAACGGTCGACCGAACGACCATACCGAAAGCCTACGAACCATACGGAGGTCGACGATGCTCGCCTGGATGTCGCGGATGATCTGCCGCGTTTCGCAATCCCTCGTCACCTCGTTCAGGTACAACGACAGGTCCTTGAAAGCAGGCACGTAATATCAATCGGTAAGTGTTCAGATCTAACATACCCGCATAGCGTCCCAGCCGAGCTGTAAAGAAGGCCTGCTTTCGTCGTCCATTGGAGTCAGTTTGACAAGTTCCTGAAGCG